CAGAGGTTTTGATTATATGGAATTGATCAAGTTAAAATGGAAGGTGTTTTAAAATGAATCTTGTATTTTATATATTTCCTTTCAAATAATTAACTCAATAATTTTTCTTTTTGTAAATTTTACTCACATAATTCTTCTGTTGGTGTGATTGCAGCGTTAGAATAATTGATTGATTTCAATATATTTTAATTCAGGAAATGATGTAATCCATCAGTTGACAAAAGAAAACTCATCATCCCTGTATGTTTCCATAACTCTGCAGAATAGTACAATGCTGTATGAAATGTACGACCGATTCTCTGTCTCCGACGAAGCAGGGAAATATCAACTCTTTCTTGCAGGACCTGCCAGGGGAACTTTAGGTAAGTGTACTCAACTTAATTTTATTAAACTGGATAAAAATCATGTATATAATCCTAAACTTTTTTTTATTTTGGAAAGATTATTAAGGTGTTGTTTATAGAGTCAATGATACATAATTTTATTCTAAAACTTTGTAGAATTTTCTGATTCCTTGTTAATTAAAGGTTTTTAATATTTCATGATATCAAATGTTGGTAAATTCAGAATTTTCGGGGACATTGAATAAGACATTGCTAAGTAGCAAAATTATAATTATTTGTAACTAGAATATTCAGTAGCCAATTTTCAAATTAAAAACATTTTTCGCCGAAACTTGACTGAAATATTGCTGACTTGGCGTTTAACAATGATCAATCAAAAACATTTAATCTTCCATTTAACACCAATTCCCTTCTATTTATATATGCTTAAATTTCATAAAAAAGGTAAAAATTCTAATCTGCATAATATGTTATATGCATTTAAGCTAAGATTTAGAAAGAAATATAGCAATATGAATTGCTTGTAGGGAAAAGGTAACGTTATATTTCTAATGTGAACATTAAGTGTATGTTGCATCACAGTTCAGTAAATTGTATACCGTTTAATGAAAATCAAATAAATTTAGAAGATTTATAATAACATTTATTCTTACCTTGCTATACTTCTAGAAGACTTGTTGTGTATTACATTATACATGTATATATTTTAAAGACAAAGTATCTACTCGATCCCTTTTTTCCACATATCAATTTACCAGTGACCTTAATAAAAAAAAGTCTTTTTCTTAATTAAACTCTTAAGTGAAACAAACCAAGCGAAGATTGATCGTCACATTGAAAAGGATGCAAAAAGAACTACACAATGTTTTGTATTGTATTTTAAAGATTTACACGCCGTACATAAACACCAATTTCTGTGAGAAACGAAATGATTTGAAACACATGGAGTGTAATAAAAAAATAATACTTTTCACAACAGTTTACAAAAAAAGTAATATCTGATTAAGAATTAGGCATTTTCAAGAATAATGATGGCTGAAGTGTGTAAACAGTATATACATGTAGACACGCATGTCCGCGGGAAGTAATAAACAGCAATTATTAAAGAACATTTATTATTTTAGGGTTATTGAACTTATATTGGTAAACATTAGCTTGCGTTGGCTGTTCAAATACACGAGCTTGCCAATATTCATCAATATAAGTTCAATAACTTCTTTATTATTTAGCTAAAATATTTCCACTTAATTTAGAATAACTTTTCCAACTAACAACTTGCAAGTGCTCTTGTACAGCAAACGAGTGCCAATATTCACAAAATAAGTTCAAAAACACCTTTATCATTTAGCTAAAACATTTTCTCATTATTTATAATAACTATTCCAACTAAAAATCTCAAATTAATCATTTTTTGGTATCGGTATTCAAATTAATGGATGTCTTGTAAGTGTTTAATATCGCACCATTCCGATGAAACTACCGAGCGTTATTATTTACTTAATTACCGGTAGCTTGTAATGGGACTAAATACTTAATTTTGCATAAAGATATTCATTAAAAAAAAATAAACAAATATTGCCTAGATGCCACTTCCTTTCTTTTATTTAACTCTGAGAATTTGACCAGATTACTTTTTTGTTAACAACGAGTCGTTCGATATTAAACGCTCGTATAAGGAATGTTTTTGGCAGACTCGAAAACGTAATACAGTCTCAACGTTCAATAAAACGTCAAGATATTGAACGCTAAATTTCTTTAGATTTTTGGTAGTATTTTATTAGAGACTATTTATAAGCTTTATAATAAGTATAAGAATGTGTCAAAACAAAGTAGATGATTGATTTTGATAACATGAAATACCGTATAGCGGGTTTTCTTGGCGGGTGTAAAATTTGGCGTTTTATCTGCTCAAAGGTATGCCATTTTTTTGGCGTAATTAATGTCAGCGAACACAGAGTTTCTGCTCTTTACAGATATAAACTTAGAAGAGATCTGACTATTTTAACAATTAAAATTTTAGCGGACTACCATCAAACGCCACAATAAGCCAAAATTAGCACACATCCCCTAAAATAACCCAAAATAACCCCGCGAAAAATATCCCAAACAGCCCTACTGGTCTTACTTGTTTGTTTATCAATCTAAAAGAGCCCCGTGGGGATCCGGGTTAGAATAGGTCCTCAGTACTCCCTTGCTTGTCGTAAAAGGCGACTAAATGGTGCGATCCTTCGGGTGAGACCGTATAAACTAAGACCCCGTGTCACAGCAGGTGTGGCACGATAAAGATCCTTCTCTTCTCAAAGGCCGTAAGTGCCGAGCATAGGCCTAAATTTGCAGCCCTTCACCGGCAATGGTGACGTCTCCATATCAGTGAAATATTCTGTAGAGGGACGTTTAACAGTATACAATCAATCAATCAATCAATCTAAAAGAAGAGACGGGGTTACGAAATGAATATTTAAATAGAAGCAATACTTTACTTACAGGATGATAAATGATTTTAATTTGACATCTTTATAATGCGTTCAGTTTTAATAATGTAATTAACATTATTTTGGTAACTTTTATTAGTAAACAGAATATATTAATTCCCAACTGTATTTCAATTGACACAAGACATAGTGTGTATAACTTAAAATAAATACTTTGTCTCTTTACAGCATGCAAATCCATCTGTCTTAATGTACCTCAGTATTATTATCGACTAGATTTAATATATATGAATCCATTACCTCTTTGATATATTTCCTGTACATCCATAGGAAATAGTATGTTAGACACAGGTTATTCTGGTGCTGATCTGTTTGGGATGTACTTCTCCACCCCAGACAGAGACAACGACAAATGGACTGGTGGTAGCTGTGCTGCTCTCAGTAACGTTAGAGGAGGCTGGTGGTTTAACTACTGTTATCGAGCCTTTCTTAACGGTCAGTGGTCCCCGGGAGACTGGCGCAATCCATGGCATCCCAAAATATCGAATGGGACATCAGTGAGGGGGACCACCATGATGATCAGACGTAATTAGGTAAACATTCATAAAATCATAATAACAGTGTTTCATGAAAATTTGATTTCTAATTGTTATCAGAGGGTTTTAGCTCACCTGAGCCGAACGCTCAAGTGAGCTTTTCTGATTAAAATTTGTCCGTCGTCTGTCGTTGTCGTTGTCGTCGTCGGCGCAAACTTTTCACATTTTCATCTTCTTCTCAAGAACCACTGGGCCAATTTCAACCAAACTTGACACAAAGTATTCTTGGGTAAAGGGGATTCAAGTTTATTCAAATGAACGGCCACGCCCTTTTCCAAAAGGAGATAATCATGAATTTGGTAAAATTTAATGGCATTTTTAAAAAAAATCTTCTCCAGAACCAGTGGGCCAGGAAAATTGAAACTCATGTGGAATCATCCTCAGGTAGTGTAGATTCAAATTTGTTCAAATCATGACCCCTGGGGCTAGGTAGGGGCCAAATTGGCCGACCCAAGTTTTACATAGGGATACATAGGGAAACCTTTTAAAATCTTCTTCTCAAGTACTTCAAAGCTATGATTATTGATATATATATATATATATGGAATCATCCTCGGGTAGTGTAGATTCTAGTTTGTTCAAATGAAGAACGCCTGGAGGGGGGGGGGGGAGTCAATTCAAGCCCGATGTGCTCAGGTGAGCGCTGTGGCCCCTGGGTCTCTTGTTTTTTTTTTCTTTTTTTTAATTGCAAAAATATGCTTTTAATTCTATGAAGCATTAGTTTGATTGTATTTTTCCCTAATTTTTAACAGATGACAGACCATCCATCAATCAAAAAAAAATCATTTAGGATAAAGGAGGTGGTTTTAAAATAATCTTCATCACGGGGTCCTTTTTAAAAAATAATGTTTGACATGAAGTGAGAGCACTTGCGAACAAAAAATGGTTTTGCTAAAGGCGGTTTACTAATTTTCAAATCAATAAACTATTATAATTTTTTCTATCAAATGTATCTAGTAAAAGATGTATATTATATGTGTTGTAATAAATTTGAAATTAAAAATATTTCGTTTTTTTTACAAACACTGATGAATGAAGATGTCTGGAAGGATAATAAGGATGCTGATTGCTTTATTGCTCAATCACGCATTTTAACGCAAATACCTTTACCCCGGAATCACGCACTTCAACGCACTTTTCGTTTTTTGGCGTTTCCTGCTCTGATAACGCGTAAAGTTTTGATGGCACGATAATTGATGATTATATAATAAATTTTATAATTTCATTCCAATATTTTTTGCAAATAATAATATTTTCCTCAATCTAATACTATGTCTGGGTCGTTCGATTTATTTGACGAAACTTTGGATTTGAGACAAATTAAGCTCTTTCTTTTGACACTAAGGAAGCTCACCATTCTATTTCAATTAAAATTTGTAAAAACACAACCAGATTTTTTTCCCGCCTTACAAAGCAATAAAAAATGCACATACACAAATAGAAAGAAACAGAATAAAGCAACGACAATATCATGTCGAAAAAAAGGTTGATTTAAGTATTTAAATCTGAATGATTTTATTATCAAGTCAACATGGTCGGCTAATTGTATTCGGCGCGTCGGCACGCCAGCGCGTCCATCTCATCCCAATTTCACATAACTATTTTCTCCCTGCATTAAAAAACTCAAATGACAGCGATTTTCTTTATAATTTAAGCATTATCGCTTATATTCAAGTCGACAGCCCGAACCCGATTGTATTTTTATTGTTGGGTGGATCGAGAAAATTTTTCCTAAAAGGTGGTGGCTCAGACTGATTATCAAGATTATTGCTGTTTTATGCCAAGTTGGCAATTTTTCAGCAATTTTAATTTTCCAGGGATTCGGATCGTCTTTGATCCACGCATTCCTTACCACAATTTGTGCTAGAGTAATCCAGAATTCATCCCACTTTTTTTAGTTGGTATCCTTTTATTTTCTCTCTCTCTCTCTCTCTCTCTCTCTCTCTCTCTCTCTCTCTCTTCGTGTATATTTAAATCTGTCTGTGTGTCCTTCTCTCTCTCTCTCTCACTCTCTCTCTCTCTCTCTCTCTCTCTCTCTCTCTCTCTCTCTCTCTCTCTCTCTCTCTCTCTCTCTCTCTCTCTCTCTCTCTCTCTCTCTCTCTCTCTCTCTCTCTCTATCTCTCCCTCCAAACGTAAACTATTGCATTTAAAAAACACAAAATACTGCAATTAGGCGTCAGAACCCACTATCCCCACTTTTTTGCAAACATAGACATCATATAGGTATTAAATAATGTAGGATTAACCCCCCCCCCCTCCGCCCCCAACATAAGGACACTCTCACCAAGCACGTTGCAGTGTAGTTGAAAAAGGGTAAGTGGTAGTGTTTGAAAGAAAAATTTGGTACTGAAGGAAGTTCGCCCCCCCCCCCACACACACGAAATGGGATTTTCGTTTTGGACAATTTTTTTCTTTTTCTTTTTTTTTTTCAGGTTCAATTTTTTCTCTTTCTTTTAGCCCCCCTTCAATTTGCTTACGACGCCAATGTAACAAAATAAAATTTTCCAATATTACGTAGTGACCTTAGACTCCAGAGTTTAACCGCCTTTTTAGAAACTTGATTTTCATGGCAGTTAGCTGCCATACATTGGTATCAGTGTTTAAAAAAGATTCCTTCTTATGTTTTAAACTGATAATACTACTAAAAATTAACTTGTCTTTATTTGAGGATGGGAGTAACTTTAGTAACAGAAATATCTGCTATTAATAGCCATTTAAAACAAACTTTTGGTAAAAAATATACCTTATTAATTTATTGAATAAAATTGAACAAAGGAAAAGTCTTACACTTGTCGGCATACCATTCTTAGGTTATGGCAGGGACCTATATACATCAATACAAACATTACATTTTTTACTCTGTAGAATCGTGCCATTTTCTGTTTTATTTGATTCTCACAAACTTCTTTATGAAGCATAAATGAACATAAGTTAATAAGTTGTGAACAGAGTGTCAAAGATTGATTTTTTATTGAAGCCGTTATTAAAATCAATTCCTATTAGTACTTTCAGTACTTTGATTAGTAGAGGAGATCGAGTCCGATGCTAGCATAAGCGATAAATTTTATTTTAAAAATCTGTTGCGCGAGCGCGCCGACGCGCCAAATACAGTTAGTGTAACAATAAACCCCAGGCGAGTTACACCTTTAAAGAAATTTTTTTTTTGGGGGGGGGGGTTGTAAAGGCCACTGGAAATATTAGAAAATATGAATGAATGGAAAATAAAATCTATCTGAGGCCGTTCCTTTAAAAATGTATAAAATGCAATACGAAGTAAATCATTCAAAATTGTAACGATTAAGATATGGTGTTCCCTACATGTTTTAAACTATTAGATTTTTATTAAATATAGTATAAGTAAAAAGTGAAATGCGGTCAGGTGTTTGAATTTGGCTTTTAAGAGTTTTTTTTTTATTTTATTTTGTATCCGATCAAATATTTGTTTATCATTAAATTTTCGTAAACCTTTCGACATTGAAAACTAATGACACTCTGTAAACTTCATATTCCGTAGTACTTGAAAATGTGAATTATATAAAATCAGAGAAAAAGTTTGGTAAAGGAATTTGGCTTTTTTTTTTAATTTGAATATGTTTCCGATCAAATAACTTTATTTGAACATCAAAGGATGAGGTGACTTGCGGCCCTCGGTCAATTTACAAAAAAATAAATTTCTAAATTTTACTCAAATTTTTCGTATGTGACATATCAATGATATGTGTACCTTGTCACGACAGCCGTCGTGCTCTGTCCAGTCAGATATAACAAGATTTTTTTTTCTATTTACAATTTTTTTTATCTATAAATAAAATCAATAAAAACAATATTTACAACATATTTTTACAGCTATTATTTACAATACACAGAAATTAAAGTCTCTATTAATCCTCAATATCGTTGACTCTAAACCACGTCTATCCAGACACGACCCGTTTCACGACGGACTCCCGCCAACTGGCTCCCAGTGGGTATCCCGGTCTGGTAAGTTCATTGCCAACACACACATGGATAGATTAACATTGGATAACATCAGGAACCTTTGAATTAAATAACATTTTTTAAGTCACAAGCCACGTATACAAAAGGAAAACTCAAGTCACCATTGACTACAATTGCACTAATGGCACACCATACAATCAGACCCGGTAATTTTAACCGAACACTATTATAATAAGAAAAACGTTAAGAATACACAACATCTTAACAAAAGTGGTTTTAACTATTAAACCCACAACACCGACTTTATAAGCGGCAAAACAAAATAGCCTACGTGCGTATATAACTCAGTACATTGCACAAAAATAGAACAATAAACGCATGAGTAACTCTACCCAGCAAAACCTGTATACGTAAATAGTAACAAAAACATTAATTAACTCAAGTTCTTAAATAGTTCTACGTTTTAAATGTATTACTCAAAAACTTACATATGAAATAAAAAACAAACTTACCCCTTTGGAGAAATGGTTACCGTTGAAAGAAAAAATTTAGCCACTCATCTTGGACTGTATGTCAACCATTTAAAAGCTATGAAAACGTGGACCCTGGTTACCTGGTCAGCTATGCAGCGATTTAAATACCCCAAAATACAATAGGTCGTAACTGACCAATACCTGCAAAACTTAACTGAGGTTCAATAAGGTAACAAAAGTATAGAGGTCCAGTAAAGGGTAAATAAAATAAAAACCATAAACATAATGTAAATGCAATTAAAATTAAATATTGATTGTGACATACCTTTATAGAATACTATTTATAACAAAATTAAAACGTGATTTGAAAGATATAGATCTTTTATTGGAGTAGGGGTATCATGTTTACATCCAATTCTCATTGTATTTTAACCCCGCCCACTCTTCGAAGCCCTTAAAATACACGAGCGCAGGTAGGTACAATTTTATCTCTTTGCTAATCAATGTATTTTATTGAAATCTACCTATATATGAAAGGGTAAAATATTACCTAACTGCATTCACATTCTGTTTTTTTTTAAATAT